TTTACAGCCATTAATGTAGTCAGTGAGTCTTGGGTTTGTTATTTGTCCATTAGACATGTGATTTGGATCCCTGAGGCTCCCTATCAATTAGAACTAAAGGTGTGTCTTGGATGAAGAACTGTAAAGACGAGTTCTCTTGCCTTCCTCTACTGAAGCACTTATATTACCGTAGTGCATGTAAAACAACACAAATTGATCCAAAGTGTTTTCCTTCTGAGACAAACACTGCATATTTACCAGACTAGCTCAAATCTTAGAAAGAACCCCATGATTACCTTTGAGCATCCACTTGGGAACAGTGAAGGTGTGGTGTGAGCTCGGCATGATGGGAGGTATGATGTGAACATGTGAAGTAAATGGAGCGCGGGCTCTATGGCACCACTTATCAGGTGCTTGTATAGCAGTCTTTAGATGTCTCCTCAAGCATTTTCATCATCATTAACATCTCAGGCAGTTTCACAAGTAGGACCATGGACACTGAGTCTTGGATCATTAACAGGCCGTTAGCCATGTGGCTTGTTGGCGACTGTACGGACCTGGGACCCCACATTGGTCAGGTGGACCTAAAGAAACATCTTCAAGAAGCATAAAGACAGTTTTCCTTGCCTACTGCTGAATCATGGTTGGGCTTAAACAAGGTACATCATGATCAAGACATGCTATGACAAAGACAAGCATTTTAATTACTTTATATATTTTAGTTCTGTACTCAGTGTCCAAATCACCTGTAGGGGAATATGTTTTTTCACATCCCATCGACTCACCGGCGTCTCCATGTAATCTTCCTGACCGAGTCACCTCACAGCTCCTCTCAACCACCCGTCACTTTGTAAACAGCTGAATTATTTCGGCATTCAGCGCAGGTCTGTGCCGGCCGAGCGGCCTGCCTTTTCTCTCTTGTGTGTCCTATCGCTTTAACCGGATGGCATGTTTCACTTTGCCTGACTTAATGACACCGCCTGACAAGGAGGGCAATTACGGTTTTGCCATGCTGCACAAAATGCAAGGCTCATCTGAAAAGGTTTGTTGTCCAGATGCCGTCAGGTGTGATTGCTCAGTCTCTTGCGAGGACATGAAATGGGCTGATAGTGAATGTGATGGCTGTCTGCTCCCTTTATTGCATCGCATGTCTGGCCCTTCGCGAGGCCACAAAAACACACACTCGGGCACTTAATGTGAGACCTACAGCGTTTGAATGTCTTGGGAGCCTTATTTCGGCGTCACAGTTGGGCCATTTTCACTGAGATGGAATCAGGGATACCAGCTCTTGCACATACTTCACAGCTCTTTAACTATACATGCCCAAATTCAGCAATGAAAAATACCCAACAGGCCAAATGGAGGCTTTGGGGCTCATCGGATTTGTTAATGCACCAGAATCCAAATGTAGTTTTGTTAGCCTTGAGATATTAGTCCTGATTCCCGCTGCCTGCAGACTTTAGAGAGGCTTGCTGATGCAGTTAGATTAAATTACACCACTTTTAGCGCCTGTTAGATTTAATATGTTTCTCATTTCTACGCCTTTTCCTGTTTCTGCTGCTGTCTTAATATAATTAATCTGCAGTTGCTTCAGTTTAGTTTATTTATTGGAAACTTACACACTTAAATGTCACAGAAGTTTAATCAAAATCGCTCAAACGTACAAAAATGACTGCAAAGAGATTCAAGTGACTGCATGACAGTGTTTTGTGCCTGAGCGTGTTGCTCCTGAACCAAAAATGCAACCATAAATAATCTGTACTGATGATAATCCATAAGAAGAGGAGCTTTCAATGTGAGCGCTCTCATTATATCACCATTGAGATAGTGAGCAGATCCTAATTACTTTAAGTTTGCCCGAGTGAATTTCCTCAACTGTTCAGAGTACTCCCACTTGACTTCAGTGTCTTTCTTACACATACAGATTACACACACTTAAGTGGCGTGTTGATGGCCCATTTCACCGCCTTATAATCTTCTAATTTAACCAAGCAGCAGCCCTTATCCACCCTTGTCCACATCTATGTCTTTCAAATTACCCATGCTCTCCGGCAGTGCATCAGTCTTGAGCTTTCACTCGAGGTGGCTGTTTATATTGTCTTAAATCAATATGCTGAGTAAGCAGGGCGACCAGCAGGAGCACTTAGGCATGTAGGCAGCTCTCTGGTGATGAATCAATTTTCCTCATGCGCGCTGTCTCTTCACCAGAGTGTGTAAAACACCTGCTGACACCCACCATGTGCAAAACAAAAGGAAGATCTCCAGCCTTCCATGACCACGAGTCATTACAGCACCCCGGCTGTGGTTGGAGTTTGTTGGTGAGTCTCACTGGAGCTGTTACATTCTTTGGTAGTTATTGCTTGTGTGCATAAAAAGTTACCTTGGGCATCAATAAGAAGAAGAAGAAGGAAAAAAAAAAAATCCTCTTCACAATCTCCCACCAGCCCCAGTTCCAGCACCAAATTCCCTCTTTCATCCTCTTCCCCCTAATTTGAGCATTCGCTCCACTGCATGTTAGCACTGCGATACATGGCTACAGGGCAGGGAGCTGCATCTCTCTCTGCCCTATCTGCTGGGAACCGAGTGGGATCCAGGAAGACTTAGATTTGCCTCTGGTGGTCTGAAGAGAGGATGTAGGTCCTTGACAACCCTTCCAGGCCTTGTGTATATTTATTGTGTGTGTGTGTGTGTGTGTGTGTGTGTGTTGCTCTGGTTTATCACTCTGCAGCAGGTTTGCACTGGAAGAGAAATTCATTTACAGTACAAGCTCCTCATTTGACTGCTGATATTTGACCCCAGGTTATGGAATAGAGTTTGCAGCCTCACTGGATCATTTGGCAGTAAAAAAAAAAAAAGAAACATTCACGTTGTTAAGCAGCCGCTGCTCATTTCATAATCAGGTCATTGGATCAGTTGTTGTTTTTTTTTAACTCTATTCTGCTTATGTATTGAAAATACTTTTTGCCAGAAATGTTGCTGTGCTCAGACTTTCCTCCTCTGCTTTTTTAGAAGTCACTTCAAGTGCTTCCAAACAAAGCAGAAGCAAACAAACTGAGGCAAATTTAACACCTCTTACCATCTCATCTTTTTTTTTTTTTCCACCAAAGTTGTTTTCTCCACTTATAAGAGGACTGAAGAAGTTAAGCTTGAACAAAATAAACTTATTGTCCCTGTGTGAATGCATCCCCCCTCCCCCCACACACACACACACACACACAGCTATTCTGCTAATTCAAAGAGATTACCTAATGGTGTCTGTTAAACACCTTCTATGTTTAGCGCTCTGAGGACATGAGGCGTGTCTTGCAGCTTTTCCTCCAGTTTTAAGGGATGCAGTGTTATCACAGCTCGCACTCACTTTTGAAGCTCGAGAGCTCATAAAGTTCCTGCCGTGTGATTTCCTGACGGAGCTATTTTCATCACCTGAGAACATCACGGGAGCGGTAATTTAGCAAAGTGACAGGGAAGTAACTCAAATGCGATTTAATGGTTTTAGTCGAATTTTGGGGACATTGCACTTTCACAAATTCTGACTTAAATACGAAACCAAATTGTTATTCACTGTTACACGTTGTCAGTTTCTCTGTTCGGTGTTCATTTCAAGGAACATACATGAAACAAGCCTCATATGTTGTAAATTTCAACATAAAGACAACATGGTGGCTTTGCACATATACTGACTATAGTGTTTGTGTCAGGCTGCAGGGTGGCGCAGTGGTTAGCACTGTTGCATCGCAGCAAGAAGGGCGCTGGATCTCTCTGTGTGGAGTCTCCATGTTCTCCCCGTGCAGCGTGGGTTCTCTCCGGGTTCTCCGGCTTCCTCCCACAGTCCAGAAACATGCTGAGATTAATTGGTGATTGTAAATTGTCTGTAGGTGT